CCTGTTTGAATTGAAATTCATAAATCAATATGTATTATGTAATGCAACAAACAGGTAACATTGTAATGCAACCTGTTTGAAATTCATAACATTTTCCTTTGTAATTGTAATACAACCTGTTTGAATTATGCCCATTATGTATTTCAGTGTAGACCACTGTAATGCAACCTATTTGAATTATGCCCATTGTAATGAATTTTGCATTGCCCAGGTTGCACTGTCCAAGTTGATTAATAGATGTGAATGAATAAATATTGCATTGTCTAGGGTTTTTTTTTTTTTTGTATGTTGAAAATTTGTAAAATTTCAAACCGCCAAACCGAGTCGCATCCATCCGCCAATCCGCAAAATCCGCAAAATCCGCCGGATTGGTGGACAGATGCAGATTGATTTTCTCCAATCTGCCAATTTGGCGGACGGATGGCGAATTGGAGGTTTCGTGGCCGCAACCGATCCGCGCCCACCCCTAATGTAAACTATACATTTTAGTATAAAAGTGATGAAAAAATATGACAATTTCATTTTTTTTATTCATATGATTAACAATTTTTGATAAAAATGCAATTAAGTGTTATGTGAATTTGAACCTTAAAAGAGTCTAATGTAACATTTGTTCTATGTTTGGTTCATTAGAATAAAAGTATAATAGAATGAGATGTTCATTCCTCATTTTATTTACAATATATTTTTTAACATTTTTTAAGTAAACTAAAAATATGATAATGAACATTTTGATAGAATAACTATTCTGGTCCACTTTAATTCTAATGAACTAAAACTACTTCATGTTACTAGACCTTTTAGATATGAGAAGACCTTTTAGATCCTGAACACAAATTAGGCTTCAAATCTTTATGTTTAAATCTTGCTTCTGTGCTTATATTTGTGCAGGCTGTTGTGTGGTATAGTTTGGGGGTGAAAAATGCTTCAAAAGTTAGTAGACTCCCCATGTCCATCTATCTATCTTTTCTACGTACTGACAGAAAAGGAATGCAACCTAGAATGGCAGGAAAATATGCAAAAAGGTATAAAAGTAAAAGTTTTTAGAATGGTTTTAAACCAACTTGTTGAGTGTTCAAAGCTATAGAAAGCGTCAAGATCCTCTAGAATGAAATGGTAGATTGATCCTCTACAGTGAAAGCTTTGAACACGACACCTGTCCCACTAAAGAGGTGGATGGTTGAGATCTTCCTTCATCAAAACGACGTCGTTTTGATGGGGGGAAAAATGGAAGCTCTCAGTTCACTTAACTCTAGCCCTGGAGAGAGAAATCCTGCAGTGGCAAAGAGAAGAATGAAGCAAGAGCGCCAGCGATGGAAGTAGCGAAGTTGGGGAAAGGAACGACCAATGTTGATCGGTGTCACCTTTGTTGCTAACTCACCAGCAAGTGTTTTGTGATTTCAATCGGTGTTTCCATCGATCATTGCCGAAGTCGAAATGGGTTTGAATGTCTCCAAATACTGGTTTTGTTTTTTAATCTATATTTCAAGGAGATTTGTGGGTATGATTTAAGTTCAATACATAAATACCCATATATATAACAATTTTATTTAAGAGCTCCACTTTGATCATGATACTTACTAAAGTTATACAACAAGACAGGTTGAAGTTTTGTTGATCTCATGTTCTTACATTATACATTTAAGCTTTTATGTGTTGAATATGAGTTTTTTTTTTTTTTTCCGCCCTTATTTTCTGTACATCTAATCTGAAAATGATTTTATTTTATTTTATTTGAAAATTTTACTCATTTTCTGTAGATCTCATGTTCTTACATCGAATGTTTTCACATATATTATATAATATAGTGATCTTTACTTTGATTTAATGAGTGAAGCAATCACAGTTTTTTTTTTTCTTCATATCTGCTTTCCATTCCATGTGAAACAATCAGAGATTTGTTTTCTTCAGAGATTCACCTGCCAAAAGATAAAAGATTCTTCTCCAAATCTCGTTTTGTAGGGAATGGGAAAGAGAGGCAAGGGTTGGTGGGTTCGGCAATGGTGGGGAAAGGGTTTGCGGCTCTGGCGCCTCTCTTATTCTCTTCTTCTTCTTTGATGCTTCTCTCTTTCTCTCTCTCCCTCTCTCTCTCTCTCTCTCTCTCTCTCTCTCAATCCCCTATCTAAACTAGAGAAAGCTTTTTCTTTTTTCTTTTTTTTTCCCCACCAAAACAACATCGTTTTGATGTAGGAAGATCTCAACCCTCCACCTCCTTAGTGGGATAGGTGTCGCATTAAAAAATTTCACTATAGAGGATCACTCTACGATTACACTCTAGAGGATCCTGACGTATATAGAAATGGATGATAGCAGGAGAGGTTACCCCTTGGATCTCTCAACACAAAGTATTCTCATTAAAAGATGTAGAAATTAAGAAATTCCTTTCCATTAATTGAAGGACAGAAGTTTACCAATTTATGGATGATTTGTGATAATTTACTAATTTATGGGTGAAAACTGCTCAAAGGTGAAATTTTTTCTATCACTACTCATTAGTTGAAATGTTCAAAACATCAATGTATCCATCATTTGACAAATTTAACTCCAATTAAATAACCATTTTACAAAACTAAAACATGATGAAATTTATTGAAACTCAAATTTCAAAATTCTGGTTGTCTAATGTCACTAGGGTAATGTCCTTTTCTTTTTCTTTTTGGGTAAATTATGCAAATGGTCCCTGTAGTTTACTCAATCTTTCATTTTGGTCCCTATAATTTCAATTTGATCAATTTTGCCCCTTAATTTTACAGATTGTGTCATATTAGTCCAATAAATAACGGCGGTTAAGTTTGATGGACGGAAAATCAAATGATGTTTCAATTTAGTCCTTGTAATTTATAGGATGTGTCAATTTAGTCCCTATAGTTTATAAGAAAGTCAAAATAACAGGGACCAAATTAATACATCATGTAAACTACAAGGACCAAATTGAAACATCATTTGATTTTCCGTCCATCAAACTTAACCGCCGTTATTTATTGGACTAATATGACACAATCCGTAAAATTAAGAGGCAAAATTGATCAAATTAAAACAACAGGGACCAAAATGAAAAAAAATGTAAGCTATAGGGACTACCGCTGTAATTTGCCCTTTCTTTTTTTAAGAGAACATCATTACCAAAATAAAAATTAAAAAATCCCAACTAGGTGACTCATGCTACTAAGCCAATCATATGCTTAAGCCAAAGACCAACAACCCCTAAAACACCTACTAAGACAGATGCAGAACAATGACCAAGATTGTAGCATAGCAGCAACTAGACAACTTTTCATAATGTTAGGATCCACTCCAAAAAATAAAAATAAAATAAATAAATAAATAATAAAAAAAAAGACAGCAAGACACCAACTAGGAGAACAAAGCTGAAAAACAAAATCAACAATGACTCAACTGCCTACACCAGCCAAACTGAGGCGGAACAATGACCAAGAATGCAGTCCTGCCATATGAACTCATCCATCTTCCAAGTTGAATCAGTCCCTTTCATCATCCAAAGCTGAATCACCATTTACACCACTAAGAGCAAAGAGGAAGGGAGCAAAGCTATGTCAAAAGAAAACTTGAAAATCCACAGTTGCCTTAACTAGCAAAGCACAAAAGTCCCTCACCTTTTAAAGGGAAGTGTAGGTCTTTGACTTCTTTTATTTTTAAGATTAAATCAGCAACTGTATAGCAAGGGATAGTTCAATGTGCTTTTAGCAGAGTTGGAACTTTCTCTTTGATTAACTCCAAGACATTTTCCCAAGAAGCTTCACCATTATTAAAAAGACAAGGTTATTTATGGTTTTCCAAATGGTCCAAAAAATCGTCATGGATGGGTTTAGCCTCCCATAAGAGCTTTTTGACATTCTTGAATCAGAATCCAAACCACAAATCAAGGCATTAACTAATGAGGAACAAACCCATTTCATTCCTCACCAAGACAAACAATCACCCCAAATTTCCAAGATCTCCTACACTGTAACAAGAGATGATCAAATTGACTCTGACTCATTCCAACAAATATAACAAAGCCCAGAGTAGGATTCATCGAGAGCATTTATTTTAACCAGAAAACAACAATTTTAAAGGGGGCAATGCTTTTCCACATAAACTCTATTGTAGGAATAATACAACCTCCAGATGAGGCAAATAGGTTATGTAAAGATTTTACTGAGAAGTTACCTAATGGATCACCCCTCCAAATTAATTGATCCATTAATTGGCAATAAGCTGATCAATCTGTAGTAGCATTTTCAATAACCTATGATTGCCTTCCTCCTCCTCCTCTCATACAAACAAAGTTTTTCTATGTGAGATACACTTAATGATGAAATCATTAATGAGACCATCTTTGTTACATCAAACACCCATCTATCAAACAAAAAGAGAAATCTCATTCCATTTCCCCAGTTTCAATAGCACATTAATGGGGACATGTTCAACAAAAAAAGAAAAAAAAAAAACTGCATTATCCTTTAAGCAATGAAATATCCCATCTCTTGTTCTCCCAATTATACTTTTCAAAAATCACTCTTTTTCGAAGGGGATTTGGCTCAGATGCAAACCTCCACTACCACTTAATCAAGAGAGCTTCATTCTTAATTTTTAGATTAGGACTACCTAGAACCATAAATCTATGTAATGAATCTTTCATCATATGAGATTATGCGCACTGTAATTATAATATTCAATGTTTATTGGCTTGATTTGTTTTGACAAAGAGACTTGCATTAAACTTACAGTAGGCAGGGCTGAGGAGGTTGTTGAAAGATTATAAAGTATTCTCTACTTTCCTTTGCCATTTCAGGCACAAAATTACTAATTTATACAATAACTTTGTTCATATAATTGAGTTTAGAAGGTGAAATCTTTTCACCCATCTTTAATAGAAAAAAAAAATCTCCAAATGGACATCACCTCAGCAGAATTTGCAAGTCTTAGATACTTCAATCTTTAGTTTGCCCCTTCTCTCTCTCTCTCTCTCTCTCCCTCAAAAAAAAAAATGTGCAACAGATACAACATACAGACCATGAGAAGATAGCAATAGCTGCACAGAAAGTCTAGAAAACCAAAGAAGCAACAACAATAACATCAGCATAAACCAGTCAATTTACCACTGAGCTTTTATATATGACACGTACAAAAGAAATAGTAGAAAATATAGTATGATAAAAGAAGCAACTTGGTTTACCAAAAAAAAAAAAAAAAGCAACACGACTAGAAACAAGGAAACAACAACAATACAAAATCATCAAGCCATTGCAAATCTAGATTCATCAAACCTCCTTTAGGTCTTCAACAAGATGCAACATTTCTTTAAATCAGATGCAACATTTACTTCATCGGAAGCAACAGAAAATGATTGAAAAAGTTGATACCATCCTTCAGTAGCTCTTTTGGTTTCCCAAGAATAGCGGTAGTTGGAGCAAAGCAGATAATCGAACCTGCAAATGAAAACAATAACAACAATGACAAATAAACATTTGACAAGCATCTACCGAAACTTAAACCACATGAAACGTAAATAATGTTTTGTTGGCATAGATGACATTTACACCTTGAACAATTTTTACTAAAATCTAAAAACACCATAGGGAAAATAATAATAATAATAATAATAATAAAAGAGTGGTTAGCAACAAACTTATGGTGAATGATGATAGCACTAAAATAAATAGTCTATGACTCTTTGACGGGAAGAAAAAAGCATTTCATCATAAAACTACTATTTGCATAAGCTTCAAGTAATGCAGAAATAACAGCAAGACTAACCAGATACCGAAAGAAGTTATTATATGTCACTAAAAGATATAGAGATACACAATGCCTAAACATGATGATATCAAATATGAACAATGGAGTCGGTGTAAGCAACTAAGCATATAGCCATATCCATAACCTATGGTAAAATTTGAAGTTCTTCAATAATCATAAGAAAACACAATCTCTATCAAATGAAATACAGGAAACACGTCAAGTAGAACCATGTTAGATGCTTTGGCGTTTTCAATTTTTTCAAAAAAAATATTACAATTTTCATCATTTGTTCGGCCATAAAGATGAGTCTTCAATTACATAGTACATAAGTTAAATGGAATTAATAACCAACTTAATTGAAAATTTGATAAATAAATGTGAACAATGGCCCAAAATCATTGCATCACATTGATATATACCTGCTATCATTGCCCCTCTCTCTCCTCTCTCTCAACAAAAAAGAAAACATAAACTGAGAAAAATCTTGACATTGGTTAAAAGGCAGTTCATATATGGTATTAGTAATTGATGGCCAGAAATATGAACGTTCAGGATATATAATGGATCAACCAGCTCATTTACTTCATGTGAAGAATTGTTATTAATGAAAGCCATATAAAGGAGGTGTGAGGTAGGACTACAGAAAATAAACATTGGTACAAAAGCAAACAAACACTTTGTACAACCAACACAATGAAACAATAGTTGTGCAATCCATACTTCGATTCTTTTTTTTTTCATTTAAAAAAAATTGTTTTAGTTGTACATGCATAACCACAAGTATGCCCCATAGTGTGTGACGCAAGCAAAACGTCACTTCACATATTCCAATGTTGATTTAAAAGTAGAGTTTGAAGAGAATCCATTTAAAAAGCTACACCTACAAAAGAGAACTTGCTCATCTCTTTTAGACTTCAATGAACAAAATGAAAATCATGTCACAAACCATTATTTGATGAGTCTACCTAATAAATGAGGTCAGGAATTTAAAAACTTGACAAACCTCACTCATGTTATACTTCATCGGTTCAAAATCATAGGTGGAAGAGTATTTGAGATAAAAGAAAGAAAAGAAAAATTGAGATATAAAAGAAAGAAAAGAAAGAATATTTGAGATATAAAGTCAGATTTGATAATGCTTACATTGAGCTTTGGAAGAGTGGAAAGAAAGAAATAGGACTTCAAAATTAAAAAACCCTTAAACAGCACTGTCATCCACAGACACCACCACTTAAGCAGAAAAATTGCTGAAAATTAAAAAGTAATTGGGTTAGTGACTGCCACAAAACAGAGATCAAACAACATATGTAGACGAAGCAAAAAGACATCAATTATTCATGGTGAAAATACATAAATTCTAGGTAAGTAATAGATGCTCCGACCCAAAAATTAAAAAAGAAAAAGAAAGATATGGTTGATTATTGTGATTGGGCATATGATCCTAATTATGTGTGGGGTGTCAAAGTGCGAAAACAAATTACCATTCTACAATATGATTTTTATTTTTATTTTTATTTTTTATCAGAAAACAAAAAGAGTAAATGAATAATAATGTGAATCATTACAATCAATAAATAAACAAGGGGAAGGGATAATTAGAAAGAGATTGCCTAGAAAAACTAATATATATATATATTTAAGAAATTAAGAAATTTTTATATATTGAATAAATTATTCAAAATAAAAGGACAAAATCAAAAAAAAAAAATGAACCTCAAACAGCTAAGCAATTTATATATATATATATATATATTATAAGTAATACACAGGCTCTGTTGTGATGAGATGAGGAGATTTCGACACAATTAGTATTGATAAAATATAATAAAATAATAATTTTGATATATTTAGTTTGGGTGATTTTTGAGGAGTTAGTACCTGGTAGTTTTGATTGCTCATATTGGCCTTTCCCCTTCAAAGATGTATCTGTCTTCTATTCTATGGTGACTTTAGGAATGGGAGCTATGAGGGGCCAATATTGGCCTTTCCCCTTTTCACACCGCCGTTTCATTATTGGACATTTGTAGAAATGAAGTACCAAAAGCGAGGGAGGCAGCCCGCCTTGCTCGGGAAAAGATGTGAGCCTGGGGCAATCACTGAATTCAAGATAGGTGAGGTTTTGAATATTCTCCATGGAAGATATCTTCTCCAAATTTGGGAAATTCCCAATCCATAGAGACGTCAAAGAGGTGGGCAGCAACATGCCATCTACTGGAAAGCTGGACACCGAATAATATTCTTCTTCTGGAAAACTGGACACCGAATAATAATCTTCTTCTTCTTCTTCTTCTTCTTCTTCTGGAAAGCTGGACACCGAATAATAATCTTCTTCTTCTTCTTCTTCTTCTTCTTCTTCTGATAAGCTGGACACCGAATAATATTCTTCTTCTTCTTCTTCTGATACGTTACTTAGGCCTGCAAGCCAGAGAGTTTTAAGAGAGGAGAATCTGTGCAAACCCCACTCTGATAGGGGCTTACCAATCTTCACATTCATGATTTCAAGATAAGTGAGGTTGGTGAGGAAATTCCCTTTCTCTAGAATGTAGGAGGAGACGATTCCTCCTCCTGCAGGCCAACTTTCTATTGCCAGACCTTCAAGGGAAGTGAGGTTTGGAAAGAGGACCAATTCTAGTTTTTTGCATTTTTTGATAGTCAATATTGTCAATTTTGTTGCGGGGTGGTGGACCCATTCTTCCGAAAGGGAAAGGGACTCCAGATTATCACACCTTTGTATCAGCAAGAACGCCAGACTTGGACACCCAGGTAAGGACTGCAGGGCCTTACATTCATCAATGTAAAGTACTCTTAGGCTAGGAAGAAAGCATGTCTCTGAAAAAGATACCAGACTTGAACACCCAATGATCTCTATCTGGTGAAGAGAAGTGAAGGTATGTAGCCCCCGTGGCAGTTTCTCCAATTTTTCACAATTACGTATATGTAGATACTGAAGTCTCACTATGGAAGGTACTCCCTCTTGTTGATGTTGCCCTTCGTTTTCTACATCCTCGTCTTCTTCAAACAATGAAACAAGTTGCGGACAATCAAAAATTTTCAAACTTTGCAAGGCAAGGAGACTGTGTTGTAGTCCCGCCTCATTCTGCCACAGTGTTGTGAGTTCTTTACAACTATAAATCTGCAATTCTTTGAGTCCTTTAAGCCCCTGGGTAAGCCATGTTGGCAATAATGCAAGTTTCTGAATCATCTCAATGCTCAAGGAAGTTATTGAACTCAAATGTTTAGACATTGCATTTGCCAACATCACTTCATCATCTATGCTTGGATTGCACATGGACTCAGGGATTGAAACATTTCTAATATATAAGCAAGTAAGGGAACTGGGTTCAATCACGTTACATGTCTCAAGGAACACCGAAAGGCATGGAAGCCGAACATCACTCATGGACAGGGAGGTGAGTGACGGGAGAACAAGGCTAGAAGCTTCAACCAGCAGCTGCGGGCAATTTATAATCTCAAGAGTTTTTAGGCAAGGAAGATTATTCGGCAACATTCGCACAAGTTTGGGACATTTTTTGACGGAGAGCTTACTAACACGAGTGAAGGTTTGAACTTCCTTGTCAATTCCAAAAATGTCCCAATCCTCCCATCCTGACATATTCTCAAAACATAGTGTCTCGAGTAATGGAAAAGGTTTGGCGCAATGCTGCCCATAGAACTCACAACCCACATGATTTACGGCACTCATTCCTTCAATGTGAAGGTCTTTCAAAGAGGGCAGCTGTCCAAGTGGCGGTAAGGAAGTGCAATTTTTACAATTTTGTAACTTCATGCACACCATATTGGAGAACAACGGATCTCCTATCCAAGTTGGAAAATTCATACCATGGTAGCCTCTAATGTATAGCTCTTTCAGCTTCTTGTGAGGTTTTAATATGTCAAGCACTTCTGTTTCAACCATTTCATTTCGTAAACCATCCATGCTCTCACCACTCCACACCATTGTTAGCACGTCTATACCTTGCTTGTCATTTAAACACACCTCTCTTGCATGCGAAGAATAAACCACATTTTCTATACCCGATATGCAAAGTGTCCCTCCAAGATGAATCAAGTTCCCCAACTCTCTTATTCGAGACCCATTGTCTTTCATAACAATAAAATTGGATAGTGTTTGGAGACTTGTCAACTTACCAATTCCTCGTGGCATTTCTACCAAGGAATTTGAATCAATCATATCGAGATGACGTAGGTTGATTAGGTTTCCCATGTCCGCAGGCAATTTCTTCAATTCTGGACAACCTCTTAGCATCAAAGTTTGTAGATTGTATAGGGTACCTAATGATTCAGGTACTGCTTTGATATTGGTGTAGGAAAAGTTAAGATATCGCAAATGTTTCAAATCTCCAATTGATTTTGGAATAAGTTCACCAATGTCATATCTACTCAAACTCAACACCCTTAGGCGTTTCATCTTTGGCAACAGATTAAGAGGGACATCACTTGTCAAATAACAATGTCTACTTTTACTTAAGGACAATGGTAAGAAGGTCCTTACACTCTTGGCTTCATAACAAGTTTCAAACTTTTTGATTGTGTCAAAGCTACTTTGCATGTAAGATGAATGTCGAGCACTCTTCAATTTTCTACATTGCTCCTGATCCTTCAATTTATCCTCCAATCTAAAACAAGTATATCCTGCAACTGACTGAGCCAAATCATTGATGAGGTCATGCATCACAAATTTCGAGCTTTCACTACCACTTGATGGTTGGAAAAAAGACCTCGACTGCAGTTCACGAAAGTATTCGACTCCTAAATCTTCCATTTGCTTATGTCCATTTTGTTGCTGAAGAAGGCCTTCTGCCATCCACAAGAAGACTAACTCCTCCTCCTCAAATTCATAGTCCTTTGGCAGTATAGAGCAATATGCAAAGCATTGCTTCAAATGTGAAGGGAGATGATGGTAGCTTAACCTCAAAGCTGGGGGAATTTCATTGCCTTGTTCTGTTAAATCCCATATTTTACTATTCAATACAATTTCCCACTCATTGTCTCTTTCTTTGCACCGTAAAAGGCCACCGAGTGTCCTAGCAGCCAAAGGCAAACCTTTACATTTTCCCACAATTTTCCTACCAATAGACACCAAATTTGGATTTGCATCCATGCTTCTATTCCCAAAGGCATGTTGTTCAAACACTAACCAACAATCATCATCTGATAGATGTTGTAGGAAATGGTTTTGAACGGTTCCCATAATTGATGCAACATTTCTATCACGAGTTGTTACAATTATCTTACTTCCTGAGACTCCATCGTTAAAGGGGCCCTTCAAAATGTTCCAATCATCGTATTTCTTGTCCCACACATCATCTAAAACAATTAAAATCTTCTTTCCAATCAAATTCTGCTTTAGCTGAACTTGAACTTGATTCAATTCTTTAAATTCACAAGCCTTGGAAGTAATGGATTCAAGAATTACTTTTGATATTCTCATAATATCAAACTCATCAGAAACACAAACCCATGCTTTCAAATCAAAATGCTTGTTCACCACTTCATCGTTGTATACCATTTGTGCAAGGGTGGTCTTGCCGAGCCCACCCATACCTACAATGGGAATTACGCCGACTTTTCTATCACTTGACTCGTTGCTTATGAGAAAATCAATTATCTCCTTTTTTTCCTTATCCCTGCCACATATGCAGGGTTCATGTATCAAGGATGTGGAGGGTGGTCTGTGCCAAGTTTTAGCAGATTCTCCTGCAACAATCTGTTGTAAACCAAGTGCACTTCCGCTTTCAAGAATATTTTGCAATCTTATAGTGATTTCCTCCATCTTGGAAGTAGAACTCCTTGTAAAATCAGACAAAAAAGTTGTTGGATTGGGTCCTTTACAACATGTAGGTATCATGGCACGTAGCTTGCTCTTGCTGGTGCTAGCTGCTTGAGACTCTGATGTTAACTTACGCCGCAAAGCTTCAGTGGAAAATTCATCTAGTAAGTCATCCAGATCATAAGCCAGGTCTGTGAGTTTCTCTAGCCACATTTTCACAGCTCTATTTTCTATTTGTTTCTCCTCTGCACCATCTAAGAATGCCTGAATTGTAGCTAGTTCTTCACTCCATCTCTTGAAGAGAGTATGAACTTGCTCCCGACGAGCAAACTTCAGTAAGACAGTTGAGGCCAACTTCTCAAACAACACCTGAATGAAAGCAGCGAGAAATATTTCGCCTACAGGCATTGTTTCCCTGGTGAAAATAAGGAAACAAGAAACAAAATTATATCAGATTTAGAGAAAAACACAAACAAACCAAGAAAAGCATGAGAGTGAAAGTTTGATTGGTTTTACAATGAATTCACAATTGAGCGTAACAAAATGGAGTCATTATTGCAGCTACCATTATGTGTTTACATACAGGCGTATATTCTATCTTATCAAAACCAATGGCTCAAGTTTTTTTACCAACTATTCCACATGCCCAAAAGAAAAATTATTGGGAAAAAAAATGTCCTATATGATCCACAAACAAAAGTTTCATATAGAATACCATATAAGACTGGATAATTATTAAGTAGTTCCTTATGGTACTAGTCACATTGTGCTCTCAACCATTATGGGTAAGACCACACTGAAGCACTTTTATTAGGGACTTGATAAATAAAGAATGATCCACAAAGTATATTTTGTGGTTTCACATTTGTCGAGAGCACCACATAGATAATATCACATGGTACTCCGAGACTGCCTAATATATATACATATATTAATAAAGATGATGTAATAATGATATTCTTAAAAATATAAATCATTTTAATAAAATTTTATTTTTTAAAATAATAGGAAAGAATATGTCTCTTTGAAAAACATATAATGAAGTTAAAATGCTACTCTTTATTTTTCACTAATTAAAGTACAATAAAGGAATGCTCTTTATTTTACCTAAATAATTTTTTATCTCTATTATCTAACGCTACTCTTATTTTACCAATTTACTCAAACTATTTAAAGAGCCCCCAAGACCCTCCAAATGTAACTAGCTAGGAAAAAATTTGTTAAAATGGCTAGTGTAGTAATTAACTCATTGGAGGAAGTAAAATAGAATAAGACAACTATAATAGCAAAGAACGTCTTTTAAAGAACCCATTAAAGATAGTCTAACACAATGCAAATAGCATAAATACAATGACATTGAAACTTCATTCCCAAACAAAAGTAATGTGCAGTTAATGAGGTCACTATGTTATAATCCAACAAAAATAATTATTAGAAGATAATGCATGGCCAGTCAATTGCAAGATGTTCACTAACTATAAGCAATTAAGCCTTTATTTGATAGATTAATAGTTTGATAAAATAGATAAATTGTCCTTTAAAATACCATTGTGTTTGAATTAGTCCAAGAGGTCACTGGAAGTTCATCCAGTTGTCCTTTAAAATACACGCAAGTTGACTCGAACACCAATTATCTATAAATAAATAAAAAAATCTCCAATGGAGAAACTAAAATGACAATACTCCCATGCCATCTAACATTACTTTATTCTTATTTATTTAGTTTAATGCCATTGGGTGAAAATTTGAAATAATAATTTGTAATTATCAAAAATTAAAGGCAGTGTTGAGGCTTGATAATCATCCTAATTTTATCAAGAAGTGAAATGAATTTTTAGGTGATGTGCCTAGTATAATAAGTTAAGACTGCTGCTTATAGGAGTAGAAAGTTCAACGAAACCACTATGCCGGTCATAGAATTCGAAGGTAATTTCAAAATAATGAAACTCTTTCTTCGTCAAAAACTTGTTTGGTAAAAATTGCGGAGATTATTATGTGATTTCTTGAAGGGTAAATTACACTTCTAAATTTTTTTACTTATATTATATAAATTACTCTATGTTAGCTAACCGATAAGTCAATTGACCAAGTTTACTTATGTCTAACATTTATTTTGTTTGAAAATATCTTAATTATTCCTACCTTCTCTTTAACCTCTGCCCTGAAATGAAGAGCCATACCTCTCTCTTCTTATTTATTTTTCACTGTAATAGTGAATGAACGAATTTATACATGATATGTGTGAATACATATGTCTGTGTACAATGTACATATGGATTTAGATCCTATACATTACATGTTTGGAATTGAGATCTTCATTTTAATGCATAAACTTGTAACATACTGTTAAAATTCATGGTCATCCAACTATAACTGTTACATTAATTTGAATTTAACTATTCTTAAATTTAAGAAAAAAAATGTTAATATGACTCTTTCACAACCATTAATAATGAAATAGAGGGGAGTGAATCTGAATTTTATTATCCTATTTGTACATTGAGGTGTATATATCTTCTTGTGAATATTATGTTTGTATATAATATAATGGTTTTTGACTATGATACATTTAAAGGAGATATAGTTTGGGAGTTTGGAAGTTGTGATTCTGTTTGGGGATGAAGATATTGAATCAAGTCAAGTCTAATCAAGGATAAACCTAGGATAATATTCTAATATAAGGGAGGCAATATACATATATATATATATATTAATAAATTTTTTAAAAAGAAGGTATGAACTATAATATTAATTTCTATCGACATGAAAAGTGAAAAATAATATGAAAAACATATATAAGTAAATATATTTTCTTATATTCATGTTGAATTACAAAACATATAATTAAGAGACAATCTATTGACATTATTTGTGATAAACAAATATTCTTGTTATATGTTGTCCAAATTGTTAAATTTTATATTTTGAACCCATGGATATACAGGAGGGGTTGTGCAAATCACTTAATTATTTTGTTATTATTTTGGAGATTAGAATAATTAATTAGATGCTTGGACTCCTAAAACTGTAGAATTTTATACAAAAATGAAGATATTTTTAGGAGAATTCAAATTTGTGACTTGGGAAACACTTTTGAGAGTATTAAAATCATGTTTTGGCATTACATGTTTTGGCCATGCAAACCACGTTAGTTACTGTGAACATTGTGCAAATCATTTTTACAACTATATAATTCGATATTAAACAATCTGAATTTTTGTGTGAGGTTGAGATTGTTCTGTATTATTTAAAGTTGGATGTGGATCATTGATTGAAGGTTCAACTTAAGGATTAAACTAGGATGGCTGAGGGACCTATTTATACATGGTGTGGGATTATTTTGAAGTGCAAAACACATATTTTAGCAGTTGGTGCCGTGGGTATTCCCTATCCTTTCCCTTTGATTTTTGCTTCCAAAAGTCCATCCTTGTGAGCTTTAAATCCTTGTCTTGACTTTACAACATAAATTGTAAGACTTCGAGTGTATTCTAGTGTGTGTGTTTATTAAGCTTAATAGTGAGTTTTAAAGGGGGGAAATCCTATACACCTACTCCTTTAAGGGTGTGTATCATATGAATTTTATTATAAATTGACGTAATTTTATCATGAAATTTCATAATATCAACTATAAAATACGTAACCTCACCATAAATTAACATAATAAAATATCTAAAATTTTGTAATTCTTGTAACAAAAGTTTGTAACTTAGCTATAATATTTTTTGTTACACCAACCTTTTATACTTTCGCTCAAGTTCCAATGTGGTACTTCTATTTGGTATTAAATTCATTAACAGAAATTAGGCTAAATTACCCTTTGCATCCTTGCAATTTACGTGAAATCTCACTTTAATCCCTTGTTTTTTTTAATTGTAATATTTTTGGTCATGTTACAAAAATTTAATTTTTTTCTCCCTTTTTTCTACTTCTCTATTTTTCACATTATTTTCTTTTGTACTATATTTTTAAAACTCATCACCACCAACCACCCCTTCCCTACTACTCTCCATCCTTTGTTCTATCTCTTCAAACAAGATCACATTGAAAATTGACCGAAAGTATAAAGAGGATACTTGTTACAATTAAAAAAACAGTGATACTACATGCACAAAATTGATATACTAATCAGCATACGAACATATATTGTGATATTGTCACTTCAAAACTATAAACCCCCGCTCATTATACAAACTACAAAAATCTAAATCCTCTAAAATTATGCTACATCATCCGTTAGTTCACTAATTGATATACTAATTGGTGTGTATAGGTTTATTCTTAAAAAAAATAAGGAACCAAAGTGAGATTCAATGTAATTTTTAATTTTGCAGAATTACGGAAAAAAAAAAACCTCAAGTTTACATTTTGGTTTTGGATAAATTGCACTTACAGCCTCTGAAGTTTGGGTTTAATACATATCACTCCCTAATATTTGGCAAATTATACTAAACCTCCTGCCATTGTAATTATTTAGACAAAATGTAGACATTGAACTCATGCACTCTCTCTTTTTTTGCTTTGCTTTATTTTCTTTGTTTTTTTTTTTTTTCCTTTCCTCTGGTTTATTTATTTATTTATTTTGCAATGTAATTTTCTCTATTTTTCTATTAGGAGTTGTTACCTTTTATATAAGGAGGGGTTTGTGAAATGAGACTATTAACCATAAGAGTGGGAATATAATTTCTAGAACGTCAGGGGGTGGGATGTAATTGGACCAAACCTCAAAGGGTGTCAGTGTATCTTACCCATTCGTTTTTGTAACAAAATAATTTACCCTAGCTTTTTTTAATTTTTTTTTCAATCTAAGCCATACTTATTTTTTATTAAGTAAAACAGACAAAAAAAAAAGGTATTTTAGTCATTAGCCTCAATGTATATACACAAAATGACAGAAAAATAGAATTTTAGCCATTAACCTCAATGTATGTATACATAAAATGTCTAAAATAATATTTTTCATTCAGTTTAATGGCTAAAATATTTTTTTTTTCTATTAATCTTACTTAATAAAAATAGAAAATGGTTTAGATTGAATACAAATTAAAATTTAGAGTCTAAATTGAGAAAATTAAAAATTTATGATTCATTTTGTTATAAGACTTAAATTCTAAAGTTTTTTTTTTTTAAATAATTGTTCCTTTTAATTTTGTCCGTGTAGATTGGTTTCCTATTAATTAAGAATGCATAGAAACTAGGGCACTCGGGTCAAAAGTCTAAAATTAAAGTTTTCTTGTTCAAAGGTCCAAGTAGGAATGGCAACGGGCCGGGGCGAGGCCGGGGATCACACTCCCCGTCCGCGATCTCTGATGGTGCAAATTTCCCCGTCCCCGGCCCTGACAGGGAACCTATCACCGTCCCCGTCCCCGTCCCCTAACGGGGATCGGGTTTCCCTGACCCGAAAATTCCCCAGCATCA